TGCTCCTGCACTGGATCTTCGCCAGCGCCACATCCATCAAATTCGCAATAGAAGCCCGGGCCACCACTCTAGCCAACCCTTCTGTCCCTTTTCCCCCCTCCCTCCCCCTCCCTCGCCCTCCCTCCCCCTCCCTCCTCCCCCTCCCTCCCCCTTCCCCTCTCTTCCCCCTCAGCATGCTCCTGCACTGGACCTTCGCCAGCAGCACATCCATCAAGTTCGCAATGGAGGCGCGCGCCAGCACTCTATCCAAGGACGGCTGGATGGCTGTTGGATGGTCAGGCAGAAAGGGCAAGATGAAGGGCTCAGATGCAGTCATCGGGAACCTGCCAGGGGTGGCGGCGGTGCATATGAGCGGGTATTCCAAGAAGCTTGTGAAGCAAACGAGTGCGTTCTCTATAGGGACTGCTGAAGTTGCTGCCACCACCGAAGGCGGCACCATGATCACGTAAGTCTGAGCCTACTCCTGTCAAATATTCTTTTTCTTTTGAGCCCAATCAGAAGTTATCCCTGTAATTTACAAAAAGATGTTAACAGTGCTACTTAAGCATTGTTAAAATTGCTGACGCTGTACAGTATCTCTACCCCCCCTGCTCTTTCAAATGTCCCCTTCAACCGTCCCTTCCCACTATCTCATCTGGGCCTTGAGTGCTCTTCTCTCCCGCCTGCCTTGTCCTAACCGCCTCCCTTGTGACTCCCTCCTCTCTCCCATGTCAGAGTCACAAGGGAGGTTGGAAGGGACGGGTGCGGTGCCCATGCCCATCAAGCTGAACGCCACCACCAGAGCAGAATGCCTCATCTAGGCCATCTGTGCTGCTCTGCTCCCCCCTCTGCCTCCCTGACCCTCTCCCCAAATCACCCTCTCCCCAAACCACCCTCTCCCCAAATCACCCTCTCCCCAAATCACCCTCTCCCACTTCTCAGGTTCACAGGGGAGGTGGGGACGGGCGCGGTGCCCATCAAGCTCAACCCCACCAACTACCTCATCTTCGCCTTCAGAACTGCTCTTCTGTCTGACCCCTTCAACCGTCCTTCTGCACTCTGCCCCACCTCAACCTCTCTCAACCCCTCCCAACCCCTCTCAACCCCTCTCCCCATTCTCAGGTTCACACGGGAAGTAGGCACGGGCGCGGTGCCCATCGTCCTGAACGCCACCAACTACCTCATATTCGCCTTCAGCAGCACGGCCTCCAAGACCCTCGCCTTCCATGCCTGGAACCAGTAAGCCCGCCCCGTGTTGTTACCATTGTTACCCTGGTAACCGCGGTAACTGCTGGTGAGAGGTGGTGTGAGTAGCTGCTGCTCAGCTCCTGCCTTCAGCAGCACGGCCTCCTCCAAGACCCTCGCCTTCCATGCCTGGAACCAGTAAGGACCTTGCTACCCTGGTAACCAGCAGGCGCTCTTGTTACTCTGGTAACCAGCAGGCTCCTCGGTTCCTTCCTTTTTCTCCTCCCACCCAGGGGCGGCCTTGCCGTGGAATTCTCGTGCTTCAGGAAGCCCTACTCCCTGTGGGGCGGCGGGCCCGACTACTCATACTACTCTTAGCCAGCCTTTGACTCCCCCTCTCCTCTCCCTTCCCCCCTCCTCCCCCCGTCTTCCATTTTCTCCTCCCGCCCAGGGGCGGTCTTGCTGTGGACTTCTCGTGCTTCAGGAAGCCTTCTTCCCTGTGGGGCGGCGGGCCCGACTACTCAGACGACTCCGACTACGACAGCAGCTTCCGCGCCGCAAGCGTCGAGGACCCATCGGCTGGTGCGGCTTTGAGCACCAGCAGCCACCAAAACAGCTTGCAAAGGCAGAAGCCTTTGGGCCAGCAACACCACAATGCTGCTGTTGCTGCTTCCGGGAATGGTTTGACAAATGCTGGCTGGTGGGCCCGTAAGTCGGCCTTTTGGAAGGCCATTTTTGGAGGGTGATCAACGTGGCCCGTGATAGGATGGCTGGTGGGGTATGTTTTGAGAAATATTTCATCGATGTCTTAACCCAGCGTGGTTTGGCGCGGTGTAACTGTGTTGGAAGGCTGCAACGAATTGAGTGTTTGGGTTTGCATGTACATGCAGGGTTGGGTTTTTATCAGCCGCAGTAGAGAGCTAGGGGAAACCAAGGAGCCAATGAGTGCAGCCTTGGTGGCAAGGTGTACAAGGTTCCATAATTTATTTACCACAGGTAAAATTGGACAAGTTTTGAATTGTATGAGGCACCACGGTATGGGCAGTGTTGAGGCTGCTACAAATGGGGGCTGCAAATTCCGTAGCTGATCCCCCCTGCCTCCACCCAAAACCCTGGGAAACTTTCTGCCGCGGACTGTCCACGAAACTTTTCATACTTTCGTGGACAGGCCCTACTTTCATGGACACCACATCGAAGTTTTGCTTCTCCTGTGGACTCCCGTCAATACTTTCGTGGACTCCCGGCTTACTTCCATGGACACACCCATATTCGCAGTTAAAAAGGAGTATTCAGCAATGTACAAGTGATTACGGGCACAAAAATCGAGACACTCCAGAATATCTGTCCGTCGCAAGTAATCGCGAGCTACAGTGTCGGAAACCAGTTCTGAAACAGAATCTCGGAGCTTTTCTGGGAAGAGTTTGCAGCCGCACTCAAATATGCAGTGAATTTTCAAAAACAGGGTGTATTAGGGTCCGCGTGGTAAAAACACTTATTATTCAACTCAGAGCTACCCAACAAAACATAATATGCACGTGCTTGACGAGCCAGCATCAACCAGCAGTTGTTTTCTCCTTCATAATAAATAATTTCATTATTATTAATTCTGTGAAAAAAAACACCTAAGAAATATATTTTTTAGAATCACTTGTTTTTATTTGCATTAGTATTTTTCTCGTTCAAACATAAAAAACATATTCCTAAAAACGTGAATCTAAAATAGTTGTATCATTTTCTCATCTATTATTATTTTACTATGTACCGAAATTTTAATAATAATACAATCAAGACGTGAAACCTTCCATTTATATAATCATGTTCACCAAACGTTATTGGTATTCTGAGATTTCACATCTTAGTTGAAAATGCAAGCCAAGTACTAGTTGAAATATTTGTAAATGCCAGAATTCATGGTATTCCTGATTCTTGGTAGGCAGAGATTTTTAATGAGCTCTATTAATCTTGTAAGCGTAATATCTATCTTTATTCTACAACGTGATTTTTTTGTAGCGATATTTCACCAGGTCGGTCTGCTACACTTATCGTTCAACTAAAAGCGCTTCGTGACAGTCATTCAAATGAATTTTGAGGATCGCTTCAGAGTTTCTTTAAACACGCGAAACAGCTAGCGGACTTGGTGGCTTGAAAATACTGTAGCTTGCGATTATTTGCGAGGGACTTGATTACGCCTAATTTTGCTTTTTTTCTCCTGTCAGCATCTGTACAGTTCTGTTTGTTTTTTTTGTTTCAAACTCGCGTGTGTCCATGGAAGTAAGCCTGGAGTCCACGAAAGTATTGACGGAGTCCACGGGAGATGTGAAAGTTCGATGTGGTGTCCATGAAAGTAGGGCCTGTCCACGAAAGTATGAAAAGTTTCGTGGACAGTCCGCGGCAGCAATTTTCCCCAAAACCCTCGAGTCGCTTCGTGATCGCTTGTGAATGCCTCGTGAGTGGGGGCATCGCCGCCAAAGCCCCCAACAGCCAATCACTCACGCACAATCGCCTCTGTTGCGCAGGTTTGGTGCTGGACTTCCAGGCTTATTATTGGTCGTCCGCATTTCTTATGCCCCTCTCCTCCTCAAACCATGCCTCCTAATTTGGCCCGTAGCGCCTCGTCGAGGCAAGCCTCAGCCAGCCAGAATTCTGACTTCTGAAATATCTTGCTACACCTGTTCTTCTATTTAGTCCTACTTTTTTTTCACGCGGCTTGAGCCTGTAAGCAGGAAATTGTAAAACATGGGCAAACGGGACTTTGAAGGGAAAATCCCACAGTAAGCAATGACACTTGGTTACAAAATCTCGCTCATGCACTAGATTGGTTGCCTGCGCAACCTTGAAGCTCTGAATCTCGCAATTGTCGAAATACAACTTGGTAGTTCGTTATCATTCAGACTGCAGCCAATCAGGTTCAGTGTCAATGCGAGTCATGCTGAGAAACTGGAAGGTGAGATTGCAATTTGGACTGTTCGAGGTGGGACCATAAATAGAAAAAGGTGTACAAAATGCTAATTTGCGACCCATTTGCCCGTGGCGAAACATGCGAAACTGTGAAGTCATGGGCGTATGGTGGATATCATTTGTACCATCACAGCAGCAGCGCACCCCCATGCAATACATATGACGTCCAATGAACCGCCCATTCGTCAGAGGCCCCCATGCACTCGTCAGTCCGACTGGCACGGATTTACAGGCAATGACCCGTCCTGGACTGGCCCAATTTTGGACGGCTCAACCACTTGCGACACTGCTAGGAGCGAACATGCAGAAGGAACAATTGTAGGTTGACTCGGAACCAGGGTGCGATTGTGCGACAGTTACTGGGGTACACGGGAGAAACAACGAATGTCTTCCGTGTTCCAAGGGTCCTGCCAAACGGGTAACCATGGTCCTACCTTGAGGCCCAATTTGCCAGCGATTTGAAGGCGTCCGTTACTGGAGTAACCGGCCAAAAAAAACTTGGGCCTCTTTCAGACCTCTAGTGTACCACAGCGCCTTATGCTGTTTGGCGTTTTCCTCCCTCAGCTGTCCCGGCCCCAGTTCGAGTCCAGAAATGTAATACCCCCCGAAACCAGGAGCGTGTTCAAAGTAACCGACGTAGAATTGATATCTGACGGCGGGATTCTTTGCCTGGGAAAGAGGGCCGACATCGGCTACTTTGAATGGGCGGTAAGAGGGAACACACCGTAAAAACGAGCCCCGGGAGCAAAGGTCGAAAACGCCGGCGCAGAACACTTGCCGTTGACATTCTACAGTATTGTCAACCGAATCCCCATCTGAAGTTCACTTATGTTTACTGTACCTTTAAAGCGAGGCAGCTTGAACTTCAACGCGGCCGAACATAATCAACGCTGGAAAACGGTTCATAAACATCGCGTTCTCTCTTCGGCTCGACACTCGTGCTGGTAGCAACCGCTGTTGTTTCGAGTGGAGCGCCGTTTGCTGCCTTGTGCTTGTTGCCGTAATTTGTGTCCCGTGCCGTGACTCCCGTCCCGTCCTCTCCTGTCCGACGGGAGTCTGTAGCGCAGTCTTCGCTGCGCAGGAGGTTCTTCCCGCTCCGCCGCGCGGCGCCTTCCACCATGGCCCGTCATTTCCTCGCGGTTCAGCTCGCGCTGCTCGTCACAGTCTCACACTCCTCCGCCGCCGCCGCCGCCGCGTCCGCCCCTCCCACGCCGCCGCCCGCTTCGTTCTTCCCCTTTCCCATTTCCTTCGGATCCATGGGCGGAAAGCCTTTCTTCGCCGGCACGCATACACCGCAGAAGCCGCCGCCAGCGGCGGCGCCGCGTACGGGAAAGCCTTGGAATCGGCGAACGGGAGTTGCGGCGGCGTGCAGCGAGTCGAGTCTGAGCGGCTTCACGTCATCGAAAACGCTCACGCCGGGGTAGGCGTCCAATTCGTGAAACAATCTGCAACGTGCAAATTACACAAGCAAATGGGGTTGGTTGAGGGCGTGTTCAGCGCGTACGTTTACAATTCACTTTATACGGTCCAATATGGTTTTTAGAGTTTCAACGCGGTGAAGTTTGAAAACCGCTCCTGATCGCGATATATGAACCGTGATCCGTGTTCCTGTAAACTTACGCGCTGGACACGCCCTCAGAATGGTTTGGGTTTGGTTCTGAGTTCGGGTTGAGGTTTGGCTGGCGTGCCCAAGGTGATTGGTGCCTCGGAGCTGGTCCGGCAGTACCTCCATTAGTGAGATTGACGATCTGGAGTACAGTAGACAAATTGACGATTCGGAGTTATGGGCAGCGAAATAGCTGCGCCCGTGCTCTCGGCTCGAAACAAGCCGGACGCGATAAGAGCACACTTCTACGATAGGCTCCGGTAAGTGTATTATTTAGGCACAAAAATTTAGTCCTAGAGTTTTGGCGACGTTTCACGCTAACATTCACATTAGAAACTTGCACTTTTACATGTTACGAAGCCTGATTCAATCGAGTATATTTCGCCTGTCTCGCATTCCAGTCCCTTCCCCCGCATCCGGCATTTCGCCCTACATTTTTGCGTCCACATTCCTATGGCGCGAATTTTAGTTACTCTTGATTTTCCCGCACTTGGCTGTGTCCTTCCCGGGCCTTTCCCAACATCCCCCCACCTTCCCCGCCTTCCCCTTTCCCTTCCCCTCCCCCTTTCCTCCCCCCCTCTCCCCCCCCCCTCCCCTCTTTCCCCCCTTCCCCCCGATGCCAGCCTGGTTCTCCACTGGAAGGCCACGTCAGGGACGACCGTAAATATGGCGCTGCAAGCCACGTCAGCCGCCGTTTCGGGCGGGTGGTTCGGCGTCGGCTGGTCGTCGGCCGGCAAGATGTACCCGTCCGACTGCGTCATCGCGAATAGCGAGCTCTACGGGGCTATTAACGCGTACACCATAGGGGACTACTCGCCAACGAGCATCATCCCCTTTGCGTCCTTCTCGCTCGGCTCGTCGCCCGCGTTATCCGGCGGCGTCGCCACGTACGTTCCTCTGTGTACGGTACATGTCCCTTTCCGCACCGTACGTTCTCTCTCCCCCCAGCTCCTGTCGCTCGCCGCATCTCAAGGCGCCTCGAAAAGCGTCGCCGCGGCTGCGTTTGAGAGAGTCACTCATGTCGCTCATGTTGCTCGTACCCTTCTGCGTTCTCTCTTAACCGTTGCCACTTACGTTGTCTCCCTTCCCCCCACTTTCTCCCCCTCCCTTCCCCCCACTTTCTCCCCCTCCCTTCCCCCCACTTTCTCCCCTCCCTTCCCCCACTTTCTCCCCCTCCCTTCCCCCCACTTTCTCCCCCTTCCTTCCCCCCATCCCTCGTTCACTGCAGCTTCTCCCGGACGGTGGGCACGGGCGACAAGATATCATTCGTGAGCGGCCCCATGAAGACCATCTGGGCCTACTCCGACGGCCCTTCCACCGCCCTAGACGGCCACGCTGGCCACCGCGGCACCGTCACCATCGACTACTCCTGCGACGCCACTGCCACCCCTTCCCCGCCCCCCCCTCCCCCCCACGCCCTCTCCCCCGCCCCCCCGGGTTTCCACCCCCCCCCCGCCTCCAGTTTCCGCCTCCCACCCCCCACCTTCGACCACCCCCACCCCCTCCCCTCCGCCGCCCGCGTCGTTTCCACCTGTTGGTGCGGCGTGCCCGGCGTCATCTCTTGCCAGGTTTCGCCTATCAAGTGGAGCTCAACGGACCGCTGTGAGTGGTGATGGGGCTGTGAGTGGTGATGGGGCTGTGAGTGGTGATGGGGCTGTGAGTGGTGATGGGGCTGTGAGTGGTGATGGGGCTGTGAGTGGTGATGGGGCCCTCTATTTCCTCGGTTGGCCCTCTATTTCCTCGGTTGGCCCTCTATTTCCTCGGTTGGCCCTCTATTTCCTCGGTTGCCCTTCTATTTCCTCGGTTGGCCCTCTATTTCCTCGGTTGGCCCCTATTTCCTCGGTTGGCCCTCTATTTCCTCGGTTGGCCCTCTATTTCCTCGGTTGGCCCTCTATTTCCTCGGTTGGCCCTCTATTTCCTTGGTTGGCCCTCTATTTTCTCGGTTGGCCCTCTATTTCCTCGGTTGGCCCTCTATTCCCTCGGTTGGCCCTCTATTTCCTCGGTTGGCCCTCTATTTCCTCGGTTGGCCCTCTATTTCCTCGGTTGGCCCTCTATTTCCTTTCTCCCTCTCCCTGCCGCCCCCCTTCCCCCCACACTCCACCCTCAGCATCCTCCTGCACTGGACCGTCACCAGCCGCACCACCATCAGATTCACAATCGAAGCTCGCAGCACAGCCCAGCCAACTTTTTTGTCCCTTGTTCCCCATGCGTGAGGAGTCTATTTTTGAGGCGCCTCAAAAATAGACTCCTCACTGCACTGGACCGTCACCAGCCGCACCACCATCAGATTCGCAATCGAAGCTCGCAGCACAGCCCAGCCAACTTTTTTGTCCCTTGTTCCCCATGCGTGAGGAGTCTATTTTTGAGGCGCCTCAAAAATAGACTCCTCACTGCACTGGACCGTCACCAGCCCGCACCACCATCAGATTCGCAATCGAAGCTCGCAGCACAGCCCAGCCAACTTTTTTGTCCCTTGTTCCCCACCGCTCTTTCACTCTCCCCCCAACCCCCAACCCCCATCCCAATGCCCCCTTTTTCCCCTCTCCTCCCTCAGCATCCTCCTGCACTGGACCTTTGTCAACCGCATGCACAGCCATCAAGTTCGCTTTAGGAGCTCTCAGCACCACTCTTACCAACCCTCCTTTCGTTCCCTGTTCCGTCCATCCGCCTCCTTCCCCCCCTCTCAGCATCCTCCTGCACTGGACCTTTGTCAGCCGCACAGCCATCAGATTTGCAATCGAGGCCCGCAGCACCACTCTGACTAAGAATGGTTGGATGGCCGTTGGATGGTCGGGCAACAAGGGCAAGATGAAGGGCACAGATGCAGTCGTGGGGAACCTGCCTGGCGTGGTTCCGGTGCACATGAGTGGTTACTCTAAGAAGCTTGTAACACAAACGAGTTCGTTTACTATCGAGAATGTTGTGGTTGCCACTACTTCTGAGGAGGCACCAAGGTCGCGTAAGTTGGCCAATAAGAAACATTCTGCTCCTGGGTTGTTACACCATTGTTACAGCATTGTTATACCATGGTTACACCACTGTTACACCGTTGTTACACTTTTGCCACGGCAGTTTTATGTGCGTGCTTTTCTCTCTGGTCTGTATTACACTTTGCCCCTTTTAACCATCTTTCCCCGTATTACCCCTCTGCTCCGTTGACCCCTCTGCACCACATCATCCTCCCCCCGATGTAACCAATCCCCCCCCATATAATCTCTCCCCCATGCAACTTCCTCTCCCCAGTGTAACTCTCCCCCGTTGACCCACGTGCCCCCATTGACCCTTGTGCCCCAGTTAACCTGTGATCCCCCAATGACCCGCATGCCCCGTGCTGAACCCGTGTTACCGCCTTTCAGCTTCTCCAGGAAGGTCGGAACCCTCCCAACCCCTCTCAATCCCTCTCAACCCCTCTCAACCCCTCTCAACCACTCTCCACCCCTCTCAACCCTCTTGACCCTCCCCCCCGTTTTCAGGTTCACAAGGAAGGTGGGAAAGGGAGCGGTGCCCATAGTGCTCAACGCCACAAACTACATCAACTGGGCCTTTCTGTGCTGCTCTCCCCTCTGCCCCCTCTCAACCCTGTCAACCACTCTCACCCTCTCTCAACCCCTCTCCCCCGCTTTCAGGTTCACGAGGAAGGTGGGGATGGGAGTGGTGCCCATCAAGCTCAACGCCATCAACTACATCAACTGGGCCTTCAGCAGCAGCGGCACCAAGGCCTTAGCCTTCCATGCCTCCAACCAGTGAGCCCTTCTTGGGGCCCCTGCTACGCTGGTATTTATAATGCCTCCGTGTGTGGTATTCAGCGCCCTGCCTTCACCAGCAGCGGCACCAAGGCCTTAGCCTTCTGTGGCTCCAATTCAACCAGGACGCTGTTGTTGTTGCTCTGGCTGCCCAGGTATGTGTTCTGCCTCAGTGTCCGCTGCTCAGCATCCTGCTGTCAGCAGCCCTAGCACCAAGACCCGTGCCTGCCCTCCATATCCCCAACCGAGACGGCCCAAGGTTACCCTGTTACCCTGGTAACTTAGTCAGGCCAGCAAGCCTCGGTGCCTGTTGCTCAGCATCTAGCTCAGCCGCTGATACCTTAACTCCCAAGCCCACACCTTCCAATGGTGATTTTTTAATCGCCTAAAAATCACCTTTTTTAATCGCCTCAAAGGTCACTTTTGACCCGACCCCTAAACCACTTGTTGCTCCGCATGTGGCTCTGCCGCCCATCCCGTTACTCCCAAGCCCACACCTTCCATTCCCCACCCCTACTTGGTTTTTGAGGTCGACCCAAGCCCTCACCTTCCAGTCCCTACCCCAGCCTACTCCCTTTCACCTCTCCCCCAATCTGCGCCAGGCTCGTCTCCTCCCCTCCCCTTCCCACCTCTCACCAATCTGCCACCCTCTTCCCAATCAGGGGCGGCCTTACTGTGGACTTCTCGTGCTTCAAGGTGCCAGCCTCCCTGTGGGGCGGGACGCTCTGCCCATGTGCCTATTGCAAGCCTAACGTCATCCGTCCGTCCTTCTCCCCCATTCTGCTGCTGCCCCCCCCCCCTCCCCTCCCCCCCTTCCCCCAAACCAGGGGCGGCCTTGCCGTGGACTTCTCGTGCTTCAGGAAGCCGTCCTCTCTGTGGGGCGGCGGGCCCGACTACTCAGACGACTCCAACTACGACAATCCGCCCTCTGGCGGTTCTGGCAGTTCTGGTGGCTCTGGCGACAACGATGACAACGACGATGACGACGACGACAACGACGACGACGATGATGATGACCACCACAACGACCACCACGATTCGCACCACAGAAAGTCTCGCCATGGCAACTCACACCACGTCAGCTCGCTCCACGGCAACTCGGACCGCGGCAGCTCGGACCGCGGCAGCTCGTTACACGGGTCTGGCGACCGCACTGCAAGCGCCTCCGCCGACTTGTCAGCTGGGGTGGCTTGGAGCAGCAGGCATGGGAAGAACGGTGTGTACAAGCAGAAGGCGCTGGGCCAACACCACCGTGCTGCCACTGCCGGTGCCGGTGCTGGTGCCGGTGCCGGTTCCAGAGCCGGTGCTGCAGCTGGTGCTGGTGCCTGTGCCGGTTCCGGTTCCGGTTCCGGTTCCGGTTCCGGTGCTGGTTCCGGTGCCGGTGCCGGTGCTGGTGCCGGTGCCGGTGCTGCTGCTGCTGCTGCTGGTGCTGGTGCCGGTGCCAGGGCCGATGCTGGTGCTGGTGCCGGTGCCGGTGCTGGTGCTGGTGCTAGTACTGGTGCTGGTGAATGGAAGGGATTGACAAATGCTGACTGGTGGACCGGAAATTCTGCCATTCAGAAAGCTATTTTTGGAGGTTGATCCTGTTAAAGTAAGAACTGAATGAATGACTAGAAGGTGAAACCCTAGAACAAATACTAGTTGGCTGTACTCACTAGAAGCATACCTCAGCCTAGCCTATAACTTCTACATAGCTTATATGTCTAAGTTGACACTGTCAAACATCTGTATTTGTCATGTTTGTATAGACTGTATAGGGTTACCTCTTAGAGGGTACAACACTTAGGTATATTTGTGTGTACTCTCACTTTACCAAACTATTCAATTCCAATTTTGATATGGTATCACGCGTAGGTAGGATCCCCCCACCTACCGCTTCCGCTCATGCCCCCTAGCGCTCCTCCCAGGCCCCCTAGCGCCCCTCCTGGGCCCCGTAACGCCCCTCCCAGGCCCCTAGCGCCCCTCCCAGGCCCCGTCGCGCTCCTCCCAGGCCCCCTAGCGCCCCTCCTGGGCCCTGTAACGCCCCTCCCAGGCCCCGTCGCGCCCCTCCCAGGCCCCGTCGCGCTCCTCCCAGGCCCCCTAGCGCCCCTCCTGGGCCCCGTCGCGCTCCTCCCAGGCCCCGTAGCGCCCCGTCGCGCCCCTCCTGGGCCCCGTAGCGCCCCTCCTGGGCCTCGTCGCGCCCCTCCTGGGCTTCGTAGCGCCCCTCCTGGGCCCTGTAACGCCCCTCCCAGGCCCCGTCGCGCCCCTCCCAGGCCCCGTCGCGCTCCTCCCAGGCCCCCTAGCGCCCCTCCTGGGCCTCGTCGCGCTCCGCCCAGGCCCCGTAGCGCCCCTCCTGGGCTCTGTCGCGCCCCTCCTGGGCCCCGTCGCACCCTGCCCGACCCCGTCGCAGCCGCCAGGCCCCGTCGCGCCCGCCAGGCGCCGTCGCAGCCGCCCGGCCCTGTCGCGCCCGCCCGGCGCCGTCGCGCCCACCCGGCCCGTCGCAGCCGCCCGGCGCCGTCGCGCCCACCCGGCCCCGTCGCAGCCGCCTGGCCCCGTCGCGCCCGCCCGGCCCCGTCGCAGCCGCCTGGCCCCGTCGCCCTTGCCTGGCCCCGTCGCAGCCGTCCGGCCCCGTCGCCCCCGCCCGGCCCCGTCCCACCCTGCCCGGCCCCGTCGCAGCCGCCCGGCCCCGTCGCACCCGCCCGGCCGCCGTCCCGCTCGCCCGGCCCCGTCGCACCGGCCCGGCCCTGCCGCACTCGCCCGGCCCCGTCGCCCCAGCCCGGCCCCGTCGCGCCCGCTCGGCCCCGTCGCCCCGTCCCGGCCCTGTCGCACCAGCCCGACCCCGTCGCGCCCGCCCGGCCCCGTCGGGCCAGCCCCGGCCCCGTCCTCCTCACTGGTACGGTTCCCCCCCACCCCGCCCTGCTCCGTGCCGCCCCGCCCCACTCTGTACTGCCTGGCACCGCACTACACCGCACTGCACCGCACTGTACCGCACTGCACCGCACTGCACCGCACTGTACCGTACTGCACCACACTGCACCAAACTGCACCGCACTGCACTGCCCTGCACTGCACTGGACTGTTCCTGATGGCGGCGGAGCTTCGCTTCGACGCTGAAGGTCAGCCCCTAGAGTTCGAGGCGTGGCTTGCCGACCTCCGCCGTCAACTCACTGGCCAGCGGCAGGATGGTGAACCGCTTTCCGCACACCTTGACGGTACGCTCCCCTGCCCAGACCCCCTGCTATTCTGCCCGCTGACCCCACACCCACTGAGCGTGAGGCTACTGCTGCCACTGCCCGTGCGCGTTCTGTCTGGCTTTCTCGCGATGCTGTTGCCCAGCTTGCCATTAGCAACGCCCTTCCCCCATCCGAGCATCCTCGCTTTAGGTCCCTCACTACTGCTCAGGCATACTTAGATGCTGTGATCAAGCGCTATTCCACCCCTCCGGCTGCCTCGGTGGGTCGCCTGATCCTTCCGATGCTCTTTCCTGACCTTGCATCTTTCCCCACTGTCTCTGACCTCGCTGCCCACCTGCGCTCGATAGATGAGACCTGGCGCGCTGCCTGCACTGACGCCCAGCTTAGAGCCCACCAGCCGCCCATTACCTCTACCCTCTACCTGCTTGCCACCCGCCTCCCTGACTGCCTTGCTGTCGCTCGCGACCGCTTTCTTAGCGTTCACCCCGCAGACCTCACCCTCACTGACTTTGTAGACACCCTGACTGTGATAGAGACCCGTCACCGCTCCATTGCCCAGGCGAGCGGTGTCCTGCCGGTCCCTATCTTTCAGGGTTGTGCCCCCGCTCAGTGCACCTTCTCCGACGGCTCTGCCGCAGTGGCTGAGACTGCTGCTGCAGCGCAGATCCGTTCGGGGAAGGGCCGCCACCCCAAGGCTGGGCGCGGCGGAGGAGGCGGCGGGGGTGCGGGCGGGGGTAATGGTGGGGTCGGGTCGCCTGGTGCTGGAGTGGACGAGGGGACCCTGCCCAGTTCAGCTGAGTCGCCGCCCCTGCAGGTGCAGCAGCCGCAGCAGCCGTCGCAGACGCGGCAGACGAGTGTCCTCCCGCCAGGGTGGCCCGGCGCTGGCGGTGGCCGGGCGCGTGGTGGTGTGCCGCGTGGTGGCTCTGGCGGCGGGCGTTGTCAGTACCAGATCCAGACCGGTCCTCGCCGCGGCTTCGTTTGCGGTAAGCTCGGTCACTCCACTCCCCGCTGTTTTCGTCGCCTGGACGACCTCTTTCGTCAGCGCTTCGGCCCGTCGCCAGACCTCCCGGACTGGCACAGTTTGCTTAGTCGTCAGATTCAGATTTTTGATATGGACATGGATGCCATTGTTTCTGCTCTGCATGTGATGTATGCTGATGACTCTAGTGTGCTTCCCGCTTATTACTCACTGTTGCCTAGTGTATGTGTGCCGCGCTTAGCCTCCCCTGCTGCGTCAGGCGTAGGATCCCCTGCTTTGTGTAGTCTTGGTGCTTCCGCCGTCGTTCCGTCGCCAGACCCCTCGGCTTCGCTTTCCTTCACCTTGGACTCTGGCGCCTCTCGGTGTTTCTTCCGCGACTCCACCACCCTGACGCCGCTTCCTGTTCCTGCTGCCGTTTCTCTTGCTGACCCCTCCGGCGGTCCGGTAGTCGCCCGCAGTTCCACCACCCTTCCCTGTCCGGCGGTTCCTTCGGGTTCTCTTACAGGTCTGCATATCCCCTCGTTCTCCAGGAACCTAGTTGGTGTCGGCTGCCTCCAGGACCTTGGCGTCACCACTACGTTCCCTGGTCACGAGCGGTATGCTGTCTGTACCGAGGCCGCCACTGGTGCCCCCCTGTCCACGTTCCCCCGGGACCCGGTGTCCGGCCTGTTCACTCTGGACACCGTGACCCCCCCGGCTGGAGCGCCCCCTCAGGTGGCTGCGTCTACCCAGGTTGCTGCTGCCTGCTCCTGTCGCTCCCTCACTCACCCGACCCTCCTGTGGCACCACCGCCTAGGTCACCCTGCGCTCCCGCGTCTGCGTCACATGTCTCAGCACGGTGTCGTCCTTGGTCTCCCAGGTTCGCTCCCCGCGTTTCCCTCCTCCCCAGCCCCACCTTGCACGCCTTGTGTCGAGGGTCGGCTTTGCCGTGCCCCTCACTCCTCCTCGTTTCCCCCTACCGCCGCGCCGCTGCAGACCCTGCACCTGGACGTCTGGGGCCCCGCCCCCGTCCCTGGGCCGCGTCGAGAGCGCTACTTCCTTGTGCTTGTCGACGACTTCACTCGTTACACCACCGTCTTTCCCCTGGAGCGCAAAGCCGACGTGCCTGGCGCTCTCATCCCCTGGCTTGTCTCTGCGCGTGTCCACCGCGGTCTCCCTGTCTTGCGTCTTCACTCAGACCGTGGTGGCGAGTTTGCCTCCGGTGTCCTTGGTCGCTTTTGTCGTGCGGAGGGCATCACTCAGACGTTCACCCTACCGGACTCCCCACAGCAGAATGGGGTCGCTGAGTGACGCATCGGTTTGGTCATGGAGGTCGCTCGCACCTCCATGATCCATGCCGGTGCACCCCATTTTCTGTGGCCGTTCACTGTGCGCTACGCTTCTCACCAGCTTAACCTGTGGCCGCACCCTCAGCAGCCGCAGGTTTCGCCGACCCGTCTTTGGACTGGGTCCCCTGGTGACGCGTCTGCGTTCCACGTCTGGGGCTGCCTTGCTCACGTCCGTGCCTCCGGCACGGACAAGCTCACTGCCCGCACCCTTCCCTGCGTCTTCCTCGGTTTTCCTCTTGACGCGTCCGACTGGCACTTTTACCACCCGCCGTCTCACCGCTTCTTTCACTCTCGTGACGTCACCTTTGACGAGTCTGTCTCCTACTACCGCCGCTTTCCCCACCGTGGTCCCCCGGTTACTCCCCCCCTGTTCCTGGTCACCCCTTCCCCGGTAGTCCCTGCCCCTCCTCCTCCTCCTCCCCGTCCCGCCCCCTCTGGTGTGTCCCACGTCACCCCCCTTCCGTCCGTGGACCCGGTTGAGGAGTCTTCTGACTCTGGTGGCCCTCCTGTGCAGTCCTCGCCGGCCGCCCCTCCAGGTGTCCCCTCCCCAGTCCCCTCCTCCACCGCCACTACCGCTGCTGCAGCCGCCGCCGTCGCCTCCGCCGCCGCCGTCGCCTCCGCCGCCGCCGTCGCAGCCCCCGTTCGCTGACTCTGGGGGTGCTCGTCCCGGTCGCCCTGGGGGTGGTCCCTCTGCGGGTGCTGGTGTGGAGAGTGCCGGTGGTCGCCGAGGAGCAGCTTGCGGTCCAGGTGTCGCCGTTGTGCCGCCGCAGCAGCGGTCCCCGCCGGTGTCCGCCCTTCGCCTGCTCGGCCTTCCGTCCCCCGACCCTGCGTCGGTTCCTCCCCGACCGTCTCCTCCTCTTCCTGTCTACGGCCCTGTTTTCCCTCCGCCGGACTCGTCCCCGGCTCGTCTCCCCCCTCGTTCCCCTCCTGTGTCCCCTCCCCTGTCTCCTGACCCGACTCCTCCGTCGCACGTCTGGTCTCACCGCCCTCCCGTGCTCGTCCTGCCTCGCCTGTCTTGCGCTCCCACCCTATGTTGCTTCGTTCCCACGCGTCTTGTCCTCCCCTTCTCCCGTCGCCTCCTCCGTCCTCCCTTGTTGTTGCGCCCCCCCCGCTGTCCGACTACCTTCGTGCCGCTCGTCCTCTCGTTCCTCGGGTCCTTGCCTCTCTCGTTACCGACCCGTCTGTTCCGGTCTCGTGCCTTGACTCTCTTGTCGCTGCTGTCGCTGACTTCGCCTCTACCCGCCGCCTTGACTACGCCACCGCTCTGGTCTCTG